GCGGCCAGGGGGTGGGGGGGAGGGCCGGGGCCAGGGCGCCGGCGGGGAGGACCCAGGCAGGTGACAGTTCGATGGGCGTCTCGCTCTCGCTCCCCATGCTCCTCCTCCCTCCTCCTCCTCCTTCCTCCTCCTCCTTCCTCCTCCTCCTCCTCCTCCTCCTCCTCCTCCTCCTCCTCCTCCTCCTCCTCCTCCCTTGTCCTCCTCCTCCTCATCCTCCTCCTTCTCCTCCTCCCTCGTCCCCCTCCTCCTCATCCTCCTGCTCTTCCTCCCTCCGCCTCCTCGTCCTCATTCTTCCCTCCTCCTCCGCTGTTAATTACCATGCGTGGCACGCTCTCTGTGTCACCTCACCATATCCGTTTCACCTTGTTCCCAACGCACCTTTGACGTGCACGGCTTCCGTTTGTTTGTCTGTCTGTCTGTCTGTCTGTCTGTCTCTGTCTGTCTGTCTGTCTGTCTGTCTGTCTGTCTGTCTGTCTGTCTGTCTGTCCGTCCTTTTGTCTATCTGTCTGTCTGTCTGTCTGTCTGCCTGTCCGTCTGTGCTTGTCTGTTTGTCCGTCTGTGTTATTCTTTCTTCCTGTCTGTCTGTCTGAGTCTCTCTCTCTCTCTCTCTCTTTGTTTCTCTCTCTCTCTCTCTCTGTATATATGTATGTATATATATATATATATATGTATATATGTATCCCCCTCTGTTGGGGCCTCGGGCAGGCTCCGCGTCTCCATGGCCAGATCCCCCCGAAACTCCGGCCCAGATGCGCCCGCAGGAGAGGTCCCGAAGGTCGAACTTGTTCGGCATCTTGAGTTCTATCATATTTTATGTCAGGTCGAAGGTGCATTGAAGTACGCATCCCAAAGAGTTCGACCAGTGTTCACCCCAGTGTACGGTGCATCCATGGTCCTATTACGTGTGCGCGTTGCATGGTCCCGCAGGAGTTCGAGATCGAGCAAGGCGAACTCCGAACTCGCAGCTTGACCGCAGCGTCTTGTCAAAATTACCGTCTTCTGCTGCAAGATGTTTCATTGGTAACGCAGGGGTCAAGTATGCATCGGCCGACTTGCACTTCACATACGAACGTCACATGTATGCGAACACATGTGCCAGCTGTACCCGACAGCACGACGTGTAGCGAAGCACGCTAGAAAGCAGTGGGGGCAGACGGTGAACTTCGTGTCACGGTTGTTTCTTTCTGGAGCCAGTGTCAAAACAGTACGATGTGTTTTTGGCATTTGTTTTGAATAGACGGGCGCCGCGCGCCCCGTTTTCCCGCCCAACTCCCTCCCACCCTCTCTTTGTTCTGCCTTTCACCCCTTTGGAGCGACACCGTTGTTGTAAAGCACATTAACAAAGTTTGAACCCGCTCCGTTCGCAAATTCTTTGGCCCGATTGAATGTCAGCTGAAGCTTCGGCACAGTCGAACATTCATAAGAGCGCATATGCCGTGCCGTACCTTGCGCGGAAGCCGAATTGGGAACGCAAGGACGCTGCAATTGTTTGTGGCCAGCTGGTCGTAGTCTACGGTATCGTAAATAACAGGGAGCTCATTTTTGACGTTGGTATTTGCATGTGTTTCCTTGTTTTGCAATGGTAGCGCGCGTCAGGTTGTTCTTACTTGGTCGGGGTTACTTCTTCGCTGCATCAAGGCCGTTCGAAGGTCGACAAATGTCGCAGGAAACAAAACCAGAAGTGTTGTTGTTTGACATACGAACGCAAATTCGTTGAATAATTGTTTGTTCGGCGATGGGTTGGGTTCGGCAGTTCGGCAGCACCGGACTCGACCGCAGCATTGGTCAGTATCAAGAGGCATTAATTGTTGAATCGCCGTCGCTGGTTTCGGTCATCTAGCGATTTGGGATTGCAGTAACAGCTATTCCGGTATCAAGCAACACCAGCTTTGGTGGCCACCAAGTTTCGAAGCACGAATTGGAGTTTCCTCTGGTTACGAAATATTTGCCGACTACTGTTTCGGCACAGCCTCTTTGAATTCAGAATACGATCGGTATGATTTTTCCAGCACGTGGAAAAGAGGGAGATAAGATCCCCGTCGTCGACGCCACGTCTATGCTTTGGCCACCGTCGTGTCGAGATCGTCGTCCAGTCAAAGTCGACTTTTTTATATTCGCACGCTCGTCGGTATCGTCGTCGTTGTCGCGCAGTCGTGCAAATGTCGTCCCGTCCGTGGGCTCACGGCTCCACATCCCCATACCTACGGTTTAGGGTTCCATATCCCAAAGATCCACATTTCCAATCGCATTAGCACTTACATGTTGCATATCACATATCATGTGTATCTCTTTGTTTCCATTCTCTTGGATTTTGGGGATTATTGATTATTGTTCCACGGGCAAATGGTTTGTTCGGTTGGACGTGGTTATAGAATTGGTTGGTTTCATTTTGTGTGGTCGGGATACGCCTACGAGAACAACAGCGTATTTTGCGGGACTCCCGCGGCATTGTCATTTAGTTGGAATATGCGCCACCGCAGTGTGCAGGAGTGGGAAGGGGTAAACTAAGGAAAAGAAAAGGGTTGGCAGAGGAACGCTCTGGACCACTTACGCCTTGAAGGGCTGGTGGGATTTTAGACGATTCGCGTAACCCCACCAGCCCATCCAAAAACAATGCCAAGAAGAAATGCCTTGATCAGGGAAGTGGGCAACACAGAAAAAAAGGTTCCCCAGTGGAGGCCTCTTGGAATGTCTTGGGGACCTTGGCGGCCCTGGACGCGTTTTAGAGTATCGCGGGGTGCTTCGGAGAGGTTTTACTTGGTGGAGCGCTGATTGGAGTCATCTAGAAGTTCCGGATGGCCATTGGAAAGGCAAAGACGAGAAAATCCAAAAGATTGGTTTCCTATCGGTTTTGCAAAGATTTAGGCCTTTTCGAGGTTTCTTGGGGGAATTGTTTTTTGATCATTTGGAGCTCTTGGCATATCATGTAGGCCATCTTGGGATATCCTGAATTATTCCCTACCTAGGCTCTGCCTAGAGGGTTCTTACTCTCTTAGCTTAAAGGGGCCGGGCAGTGGAACGCGCCCCGGGCGGTTCCCCCAGTCCCCGCCCCGCGGTTCCCCCAGTCGCGTCCCCTTAGCTTAGCGTTGCTTATATCATCGTAGCTTAGCCTAGCTTAACTTAGTTTTGCTTAGCCTAGCCTAGCCTAGCTTTGCTTAGCCCAGCATAGCATAGCATAGTGCAGCATATCATAGCATAGCATAGCGCAGTATAGCGCAACATAGCATAGTGCAGCATAGCAAATCATGTCATAGATTAGCATAGCATAGCGCAGCATAGCACAGCATATCATAGCATAGTGCAGCATAGCATAGCATAGCATAGCATATCGCAGCAGAGCATAGCATAGCATAGCATAGCATACCACAGCGCAGCCGAGCGTACCCTAGGATAACATAGCACAGTGCAGCATAGCGCAGCATAGCAAATCATAGCATAGCATAGCATAGCATAGCGCAGCATGATAGCATAGCATAGCTTAGGTGTAAATGTAGGTGTATTTGTAGATGTAGATATGAGTATCGTTATTGATGTTGATGCAGATGTAGCTGCAGGTGTAGATGTTAATGTAGCTGTCGGTGTAGATGTAGATGTTATTTTCCTAGATGCTCCAACTCCTAGGTAGGGTCGCACTGGGATAATTTTGGGAATCATTTGTATTCGCGAAGAAATCTAGAGCAGTGCCCCGCCCCGCCCCAGGTTAGAATGTCGGTAAAAACAATGAATTTGAAATTCTCGTTGAGGCTTCATGGAACGTGTTGGGTACCTCTGGGGGTTTTCATGCGAGTTTCTAGGGGCTACATGAGATCTTTGCGAGCCTCCTGGGCGCTTCTCGGAACCATCGTAAAGGAGATCGATAACAGATGTGGAGCGGCTCCATGTGTTAGTTCTCGCCCTGAAGAAACCACAAATGAATTCAACACCCTAGTAAAACGAATAACCTGACTTCCTCACCGAACTCATCTTAGACGTTCTAACACGTCGCGGGAACACCCGTCCACGTCCAGAAGGAGAAAGGAATGATTAATTTTTTTCAAAGAGAAGAGAAAAGGGAATTCCTAAACCATCTTCGTCCAGAAGACTCGTGATATTATTGCACTTGTTTATTACATTCCGTCTTTAGCAGTTGTTTTGGTTATTTTTCGTCCGGACGGGACTACTAGATATTGCATTTTTGGTTTGTTATTTGTGGTTTGATCTCATTGTGTGTTGTTTCGATTTTTGTTGAAGATTATTTCAGGCTCGAAGTGGCACCAACGACATTTATGATTTTACAACGGTCCGTTGTTTTAAATTGTTTTTGGAAGCCCGGTTATATATTATCTTGGATAATTCAAGAATTTGACTTTACAATGATTCCGGTATGTGCGGGAGACAAGGTCCCGAAGGGATAGCATTCCACATGTTCGGTATTCAAAATCGAGTACTAAAAATGAAAACCCGCAATTTACAAAAACACGGACATACATACATACATACATATATATATATATATATATAAATATATAGTATAGCTAAACTCATCCTGAATGAGTGTATGTAAAATCGATCATGTGCCCTTTTTTCAGGCGGGCTTTTGCCAGGATCGCATGTTATATATATATATATATAAGAAACTTCGTGGCCAGCCGTTATTAACATGTAAGATTGGAAGTCGCAATCACATCAGAACATTTGTAATGATATCAAAATATGTTAACGGAAATAGGGAAACATTGTCTTTGATTTTAATATGACATACATGTTTAAATGGATCACCACCTACACGCTCAACGTCGCTTCGATATGATTGTTGTGTGTCTCCAAGTAGAGAGGCGCGTATCATTGGGCGCTGCAATGTATTTATGAACAGTAAGGCGAAGAAATAATCCCACCAACCTTCTGGGCGTCGGTGGTTTAGAGCGTTTCCTCTTTCCCCTTTGGGGAGGGGTTTACCCCTCCCCTCCCCCCCCCACTGACCTGGACAAAGGGGGGGGGGAGCGGTCAGAGCGTCCAAAACG